GTAAATTTGATCTACCGTAGGATGAGAATCAAATGCCATGGACCATCAGAGATGGGCAGTGATCCCTGTCTGCTTTACTCATGTTAGTTCATTAGTATATTGATCTGGATAGAACATATTTAAAAAGCAAAAGACCAAAGGACAAAAGTAACAGGATTTAAGGTCTGAATTCCTTTTGTACATTTTTTTTTATTTTCGCTTTTACAGTAGTTTTATGTATATTTTTCTTTTAAGTTGATTTATTGTTTCTTTATTTGCATATCAATAATTATTTAGTTTTATTTTGGTTTATATGTGTTTCATATCCTGCTCTGTCTTACAGGCAATCTCTTAGTTATGTTTTAAGAACTATAATACAATGAAATTAATTATGAATCTAAAAAGAGAATAAAAGGTTTCTTAATTAATGAATATTTGCATTATACGTGGAGTGCTGAATTATAACGGTTTGACTTTAATAAATCTAAATTATTTTAGAATAACTGGAAATTGTAACAAGAAACCACAAATGTTTATTCTAAATAGCTTAAATTTCGCAACAGTATACATCTATTTATATTTATTAACTTTTGTTTGATTGACCTTTGAACTATGTCTGACTAAAAGTACCCCAACATAAGTTGAAAATTATATTACATTTTTCTCAAACATAGAACAGTAAATACAAAATATTCAGAAAATAATGATCTCCACTATTTATGCCGTTTTAAAGTTCTTTTTTGCACTTGTGAGTCATACTTGCTAACCCTCATCATAAGCCTTGTCCAGATTCACATGTCGATGTAGAAAAAAATTATTTTTGTGGTATTGGTATAGTAATATATAATTTTTTGGCAAGCATTTTTGAACACCAAAAAACTATAAATGACTATACCAATACTACAAAAATCTATTGCAATTTACCAGGCTTCCTAAATATGCTGTATTTGAGTCTAAAAAAATCTAAGTTCTGTTTGGAAAATAGCACTGATCATAATACTTAAAACTATTCAACAACATAAGAGCTTTACCACTAACAGAATTATATAGAGTAAATGTAGAGATTTCAACTGGTTATAAAATTATAGGTATAAAAAAAGCAGTCATAGATAAACAAGTCTTCTCAAATGATGAAGTGGTGGGTGGAACCAATATGGTGGATTCGATAAATATTATATCTTGGCAAATATAAAAGGTAGGAAGTTCTTATTTTATATTCTAGCTTGCCAATATCAGAAATTTGAGTTTATAATTTGTATGAAACTATAGACGTTGTACTGTGAGCTTCATAAAATGTAATGTGACCAAACCCAGAAGAAGATGCGTATTTAACATTATAATTTTTACAATCTTTGATAAACAGCATCCAATTTTTGTGGCACACTTATGTTTCCCCCATTCTAATCCCATTATTGTCTAGTTTCCCCTGCGTATTTAACATTTATAATTTTTACAATCTTTGATAAACAGCATCCAATTTTTGTGGCACACTTACGTTTCCCCCATTCTAGTCCCATTATTGTCTAGTTTCCCCTGCGTATTTAACATTATAATTTTTACAATCTTTGATAAACAGCATCCAATTTTTGTGGCACACTTACAGTTTCCCCCATTCTAGTCCCATTATTGTCTAGTTTCCCCTGCGTATTTAACATTATAATTTTTACAATCTTTGATAAACAGCATCCAATTTTTTCTAAAGAACATCTCTTATCCTCAGGGTGCACCAAAACATTTCCAAGTGAATAAAAAGGCTTAAAACAATACCAACAGTCACAGAAGAAAATGTGTAGACAACTTTTTCACTCAAACCTTGAATATAAGGAAGTATATTCCTTTTCAGAATGTCATGACTTTTTTTGTTTTTCCAATAAAAGGGTATGTTTTTGGAAGGTTTTTGAATAACTATTTTGTTTCAGAATATCTTGAATGAAACTTAGTTCTTTATTTATCCTGTGAAAATAGTACTGTCTCTGTTATTCAATGCAGCTACAACTGACTATTTATATGATTTAGGATGATATGAAGATATACTGATATATGATATACTGCCATGTGTTGATTTACAAAAGACACTAATAACACATCCAGAATTTGAATTGGAGATCCCATGGAGTTGTTTGTAAAAACATATTTAAATAAAAGAATAGTAGCTTCAAGATAAAATTGCCTGGCATAGTTCCAAAACTGTTAAAGAAGTGAGTAACAATAAATTAGTATCCTATTTCAGCCAAACAACAATATCTAATGCTAACTGAATGGGAATAAACGTAAACAAACTAATTATATGAAACAAAACCATATCTTCATGTTCAGAAACTAGAAGCTCTTGTAGTCCACCTACAAAATGATTAGAAGTTTTCATATGTAACTCAGACTGACCTATTAACTGTTTTAGTGTGCCATCTAGAAACTTAGATAGCTTGTACATAGAATCCTCAATATACATAAAATAATAGATCATAGTAGTACAACAGGTTTAAGTACTTTCAAACTGTAATGAGGTGGTGAGGCTCCAAAATAATTTCAATATAATGTAGTACAACTCTGCAGTCCTTACCATTTGATTTCTGGTGTAGGTTTCCCTTCAGCTTCAACTTCAAATGTAACAGTTTCATCTGTCATTACTATTTTATCTTTCATCTGCTTACGAAAACATGGAGGGCCTAAATAAAAACATCATGAAAACAGTTAATGAATTTCCAGCAATCATACAGATATAAGCAGTTATTTCAAGTACATTGGAAAAACATTTCATTATTTATTAAGTTATTTCTAATGAGAGAATATATTTTATGACTTTGGGTTGCAAGTTTTAATATTCAGTAGTTATGCACAATATCATTAAACTGGCACTACTTACAGGTGACAGTCAACTGACATGATGTATTTACTTCTCCAATGTCATTTTTTGCCACAACAGAGTATGTTCCTGCATCTTTTTTCGTCACATTTTTAATGATGAGAGCATAACTTTCTTCATCTTCAAACAGAAAACGATAACGTTCTCCTGCTGTTATTTCTTCACTGCCACAAAACCTACAAAAAACAATACATGAAATTGTAGTATGCAAGTACTGCATATCTCACTCTAACTTAATATATATATTTCATTTCTATAAAATTTGTAAATTATTTTAAATCCTAAATCTGGCCTAGAAAATGTTCAGCCCAAGATATGAAAGAAAGAGTACAAAATTAACATTAGCATTTAGTACTTAAGAAAGAATAAACATAGTTACACATCATATTTACAAGATCTGAAATTCAGGATTGCACCGCACTCCTGGTGAACATTTTGGATAATAGTGTCCCTAGAAGTTGAGTTTAACACTTTCAATACAGCTCGATCAATTTGACCAACCACGTGACCTTTTTTTGTATTCGTTTAAAGTTTTTATAGATTTCTACTTATAACTCTCAATATAGTGGGCATATCTTCACAAAATCTGGCAGTCTTTCAGTTAATATTACAAATCTTTCACATACAAAAATTTATATTTCTTAGTGAAGTATTTTTAATAAAATAAAATAAAGATT